AGAGAGAGAGAGAGAGGGGGGGAGGAGGGAGAGAGAGAGAAAAAGAGAGTGTGTGTGGGAGGGTGGGGAAGAAAGATAGATACACAGAGAGAGAGATGTAGCTTAGCTAAGTTAGATAAACACCCTATATTGCAGTCACAGCTCTAAGGATTCACCTCGCAAGTTGCATATTTTTGTTTGTTTGTTCAGGATCCATTCAATGTGGTGAGCTACAGCATCATAGGCGACGACTCCGCCCCGTCTGTGTTCAACATCACCTCCAGCAGCGGCCAGATCAGACTCACTCGCTCGATCCTGCTGGAGTCGGAGACTTCATACAAGGTAAATGCTACATAATGTGAAGACATACATGGTACAAGGTAAATGCAACATAATGTGAAGACATCATACAAGGTAAATGCTACATGATGTGAAGATATTGTACAAGGTAAATGCTACATAATGTGAAGACATACATGGTACAAGGTAAATGTTACATAATGTAAAGACATCGTACAAGGTAAATATGAAGACATACATCGTACAAGGTAATTGCTACATAATGTGAAGACATTATACAAGATAAATGCTTCATAATGTGAAGACATTGTACAAGATAAATGCTTCATAATGTGAAGACATAATGTGAAGACATACAACGTACAAGGTAAATGCTACATGATGTGAAGACATACATGGTACAAGGTAATTGCTACATAATGTGAAGACATTGAACAAGATAAATGCTTCATAATGTGAAGACATAATGTGAAGACATACATCGTACAAGGTAAATGCTACATACTGATCATACAAGGCAAATGCTACATGATGTGAAGACATCGTACAAGGTTGTTATTTTCAAATCCCTTTAGCTGCGAGCATTTCGCTCTAGGCAGATCTTACAAGGTAAATGCTGCATAATGTGAAGAATCAACATCTTCTCTGGATGAACTGGCTGGCTGGATTTCTGTAGCATGTATACTCGCGTGTAATGTAAACTTATGTATGACAGGATGGTCTACTTTGATTTGATATTTTTGTTGGTTGCTCGTATAATATGGGGTGAATTTCTGACTTGCGGGGGGCTTGCAGACTCACATATGCATGCACTCATATTTACACACAAGCACACACACTCATGCACGCATATGTACATACACATGCAAACACGCATGTACTCTCACGTGCACTACACGCATGTACTCTCACGTGCACTACACTCATCCACACACAAGCACAAATGACACCATTTTTGCTTTCTGAAAAACTTTCTTGTTCAGATCCGAGCCCTCGCTAAAGATGGTTGGTAGTCCTATTAAACACTTGCATCTACTTCAGGTGTTCTGTTTTATATTTATATATTAAGCTACATGTAGCCTATGCTTTTTGGGAAAAAAAAAACTTTCTGTAAAATTTTACTAACTTATGCATATATTTGAATTTTGGCCAAAGACAGTAATAGTCCTATGAAACCCTGGTATTTACTCCTTGTGTGTTGTTTTATATTCAATCTAGATATATGCTTTTTGGTAAGAAAAGTTTCTACAAATTTTGCTTCCTCATACAGATCCAAATTTGGCCAAAGATGGTAATAGTTCTTTTAAACACAGGCATTTACTTCATGTGTTTTTGTTTTATATTCTAGAAAAGTTTCTGAAAATTTCTTTCCTCTTCACACAGATCCGAGTCTTGGCCAAAGACGGTGGTAGTCCTTCCTTGACCGCTACAGCTACGGTCAGTGTGGGTGTCCAGAGGAACCTGTTCTCCCCGACCTTCACCCAGCTGGTGTATGAGGAGACGGTACTGGAGACTCAGTCATTGGGCGTGGCCATCGTGACCGTCTCAGCGACAGACGAAGACACCAAGGTAAGCTGGCTTTTTGTGTCCTTGCTTTGTTTGGATGGGGTGGAGATAAGAATATGAATACGAATCATAATGACTGACGCAGACACCAAGGTAGGTCCTTCTCATACTGTGTCTATGCTTTGTAGGGATGGGGGTGGAGGGTAATGATGATAAGAATAATGATAATAATAATAATAATAATAATAATAATGATAATAATAATAATAATAATAATAATAATAATAATAATAATAATAATATTATTGGCTTCCATTGAAAGCGAGAATTGAATATAAGTTAGCCCTACTATGCTTCAAAGGTCAAACTAACCAGTCACCCATATACATTCAAGAACTCAAAGTACCATACACACCCTCACGTGAACTAAGATCCAGTGGGTCTAGACTAATTTCAACACCTCGTGTGTCACTGAAGAAATATGGTGAGAGAGCTTTTTCTTTTTCTGGGCCAACAGTTTGGAACACTCTCCGTCATGATTTGAGAAGCAAAATAAAACTTGATACCTTCAAAAGAGGACTCAAAACACATCTATTTAAGGAATATTTTAATTAATGGACAGTACCTTTGCCTTTTTGTATGAGCATTTTTTATTGTCTGAAAGAATGTTGCTGTCAAAAAGTGTGCACATGATGAATTTGTATGGTGTTAATATGAATGTGTTTTTAATCTCCTATGTACGCCTTGGGCCCATGCTGTGGGGAAAGGCAGGATACAAATGCTCTTATTATTATTAATATTAATAAAAGTAATAATATTCATAATTGTAATAATTTAGTAATAATGATAATAATAATAATAATAATAATAATAATAATAATAATAATAATAATAATAATAATAATAATAATAATAACACCATGTTGGGATGGGGGTGGGATAATAATAATAATAATAATAATAATAATAATAATAATAATAATAGTAATAATAATAATAGTAATAATAATAATAATAAAGATAATAATACTAGTTATAGTAGTAATAATAAAAATAATAAGAAAAGGAAAAAAAATAATGGTGATAATAATAATAATAATAATTATAATAGTAATAATAATAATAATAATAATAATAATAATAATGATAATAATAATGATAATTACAGAAACCCTAATGATAATTGTATTTATATAGCGCATATCCACACTACACAGCATGCTCTTTGTGCTTTACAACTATTATTACCCAAGCAGACCCTAGAACACTCAGAACTATTTCGGCCAACGGGGAAGCGTACAGTGCAAGCAATGGATTTCACGCACTCTAACTGCTCAAGTTATATACTAGTCATATTATATCTTAATTTAGTCAAGTTTAGGTAAGAATTTTATGGCACTTGCAACACAAATAGGTCATATGCGTTCCAAAGATTTGAGGCATTTTACCATGGAGAACAGGGAGAGCCACTGAAGTGGTTCACTGAAATCCTCTCGCATGTAGCCACAAGGACTCCATAATAATAATAATGGATTGCATTTATATAGCGCATATCCACTTATGCAATGCTGTATGCGCTTAACATGATACATATTATGGATTTACAATGAGCCCTATCTGCCCTGGCCGCTAGTACCAACGAGGTTTGTTCCCTCTGGTGTCAATTACTGCTAGAGAGTAACATACAAAGATAAGAAGCAGGAGAGATAAGTGAGATGGATGTTTGGTAGGAAAGAAGGAGCAAATTACACTGGAGCACCCATCAACCACCCAATTTCATATGTCTAAAACAGTCATACATGGAAAAAACGACAATCATCCAAATGAGCACGTGAGAGAAAGACAATAGTCCAGAGCATTTTTCCTGCGACTAATTCCGTTTGTTTCCCTGATGTCTTCATATATTTGTATACTTCGCCAACACAAATAAAATCGTTCAATTTCTAGTTAATTCTGCTGTGGATTAAAAAACAAACCGAAAAAAACCTTGCTTTATTTCCTCAGAGCCCCTACAACATCGTGAGATATGAACTCGCCGGTACCACCAACGTCCAGGACTTTTTCGCAATCAACAGCATCGATGGTACAATTTCTGCCCGCCAGTCGCTGATTGGGCTAGTAGGCAGTAACACATACACGGTACGTGAACTTCTCAGCTTGTGTTCTCTTTTTTGTTGTATACAGGGGACATTTTCTTTGTAGGTAAATGATGAATACCTTGTACCACCTTTCAGTTGTTTCAATAAGTTTTGTAATCAGAAGTGTTAACTTTTGACACTGACTTTTCTGCCAAAGCTGGAGGTTCTATTATGTTATTTATTTATTTATTCTTTTATTTATTCATTTATATATTTTAAAAATATTTATTTATTTATTTATTTATTTATTTATTTATTTATTTATCTATTTATTTATTTATTTATCCATTTATTCATTTATTCATTTATCCATTCATTTTTAAGGGTGGGGAAAAATACATATACATTGTAGATATAACAATACATACATATATCATATACATGTATTGTAGACGTAATGTGCTTTCATACATTTTGCAGGTTATCACCACATTAAGTAAATGATGGGGGGTGGGGGAGGTGGGGAGTCACAATGAAGGGACTGTTGTTTCAAATATGTTCTTGTAATCTCTTTTGAGTACAGTCTAACCTACTCTAACGGCCACCTGTCCAAGACAATCACCATTTTAAACGACCGCTTCCTGTTTCTCCTCTTAGCATTTTAAAAATGTTTTAATGAATACACTATCCACTTTTGTTTTCAGCAATGAATTGCCATTTTTTAACGATTTTGACAGTACTTTGAACTTTCTTTTTCTTCTTCTATCCTGTGGTTGGGGCAACCATGGGGACACCACTGCATCTGACAACCAGCTCTCGCCATTTCTCTTTGTCCTCTGCTTTCCTCAGATTGTCACCCATCGTCTTTCCTCTCGACTCTGTAATGTTGTCCTCCCATCTCCTTCTCTGCCTTCCTCTCTTTCTCTTTCCTTGTACGGTTCATTGTTAGATTGTTTCGGTAAGTCCTGTGGATCTTGTGACATGCCCATACCATTTTGATTTTCGTCTCTTCACTGTGGTCAGTAGATCTTCATGCTGCCTCACTGCATTGGTGATTCTGTTCCTTACCTAAGCGCACACATGTGTCATACAATTTTTATACCATACTTGGAGTTGTTTTAGCATTGCACTTTCTGTAAAATAAATCCTTATATTACAACATGGCTATTTCACAAGTAGGATAAATTATGATTTAACACCATAACTCGTGTTATAAATTATTTCTATCCTTTTAATGAAGGTTTTTAAGAAGAGTGTTTCAGGTGACAGGGTTTATTATTACTTTTGCCCTCTTGAATTTGTTTACTGTAGTGTTTAATCAATTTAAAAAGTGATGACTGGTACTTAATCCAAGATATATTCTGTTTCAGTTCACCGTCCGAGCCTACGACTTAGGCATCCCTGAACGCCAGAGCTTGCAGTTTGCGACTGTTCGCATTAATGTCATCCGTAACTCCAACTGCCCAGTATTCAGCAACCTTCCCAGCACGGTGAACATCTCGCAGACTCTGGGGAGTAACGTGAACATCTTCAATGTGACTGCTTCTGACGCTGATCCACCTGTAAGTACCCAGCTCTTTGATTTTATGTAAAACTCTTACCTCCGACTGTTTGTTTATTGTTTAAAAAAAATAATTTTGGTAAGTGGAAAGGTTGTACTTTTCAAAGGAACTCATATTTTTTCTGTATGAACATCTATCTCTCACTGGCAAAATTGAAAGCAAACAAGGCAGGGGTAGGCCCAGAACAATCTACATGGGGAACTTAAACAAATGGGCAACAGGGAAAGATCAGGGAAACGTAGCTTTTTTGAGAGCATCCGAGCAAAGGAATGAATGGAGAACCATGATCGCCGATGTCTGTCGCAGATCTGGCACTGCATGATGATGATGATCTCTGTCGGTCAGCTGAAATGTTGTATCCCCTCAGCCTGAGTTAGCCCTGACCAGCAGGGCAAAAGCCCGCCTCCCAAATGATTTAAGTTGTGTCAGTGTGGGTGAGCCATTTCTACAATTACATTCTTTTTTGTCCAGGGTCCATACAGCACTCTCACCTACAGCATCATCGGGGACGACAACGGCCCGGTGTACTTCCGCATCAACCGCAACACCGGCGAAGTTTTCACGCAGGCAAATCTCTTCACCGACAACTCTGCCTCTTACAGGGTCAGTATTGATGGCTTGCTGTTTCTAAACTTGTTGTTAGCTCTTTTTAACTGCCATGTAAAAGACGCTACAGCAGTGTTTCCCTAATGTTATCCTTCATGTAAAATACACTACAAAAGTTTCCCTAATATTATCATTCCTGTAAAATACACTGAAGCAGTGTTTCCCTCGTGTTATCGTTCATGTAAAATAAACTACAACAAGATCCCGCCAACCACCCACCAACCACCCACCATCAAATGTATGTCTACAACAGTATTACATGAAAAAAAATCAACAGTTGTTCAAATGAGCATGTGCAAGAAAGACAATAGTCCAGAAAATTTTTCTATTACTAATTCCGTTTTTAACGGAAGGTTTGGGACATGGTAGCTGTAAAATTGTATATTGTCAGTTCTCCCTCAGTATGTTTTTTACCTTTTTAATACCAATATAATGAACATTCATTTAAGAATACTGCCCCCTTTTTTCAGTTGAGAATTTCTGCGACTGACCAAGGTGGTGTGCAGGCCTGTGACGTCAACAGCATCTTGACCATCGTTGTTCGCCGTAATGAGTTTGCGCCAGTTTGGACTGACCAAGACTTGCTGTATGAGTCGACAATTCTGGAGACCCGCAGCGTCCTCAATCCCATCCTCAGAGTCCAGGCGACAGATGCTGATGTCAGCGTAAGTGCAGGGAGTGTCTGACTGAACTTTGGTGTCTTTGTCTGAATTGTAGCATAGAACTTTACCATCTTTGTGACAATTGTTGAGTAGAACTTTATTATCTTTGTCAGAATTGTACAATAGAACTTCATCATCTTTGTCTGAATTGTTGAATGGATCTATATTATCTTTGTCAAAATTATTGAGTAGAGCTTTGTCATCTTTGTCAGAATTGTACACTTGATTATGCCATCTTATTGTAAAATGGAACTTTGAAATTGGAAAATTTAGAAGAACATTGGAACATCAAAAGATTTTGTGTAGGTAAAGACTTCCGTCACCCTATCTAGATTTATTGTAGCTACAGAAATGAGAAGGGCACCTTCTAATGGTTTTCTATTTGGTGGTGTTGTGCACTGAAAGTAAGTCATGTAGCAGAACCTGCTCTGACAGCTATCTGTCCAAGACAATCACCTGTACAAACAACCACTTCCCACTTCTACATCTTACATTTTTTCTTATACTTACATTGTCCAAGATATCCATCTGTCTTGGACAACCACTTTTTTCCTCGACAGCAAGTGGTTATCTCAGACAATTTTGACTATACTTGTAGGAATGTCATAGCTTGTGAATTTTATACAGTTGTAAAACTGGCTATAAAACTGCTGCTGTCAAATGAAACTCTGAAATCATTGATTTTATCATTTATTTTGTGCGTTAAATTGTTATAGAATTGTAATGTGTACTATTATGTGCAGTGACAGTTCTCATGAGGAATTGGTAAATGAACAAGCCTGAAGTAACAGAAGCTTTTTCTTGGCAACTCATGTTTTTGCTGCTTTTGGTCAAGATCATTAAATTCCAAGCAATTTTGCATTGTCCAGTCTTCTTTTTACCTTAATGATGAACCATAATGACACATTTTTAAGTAACTTACAAATATCCTGCAGTAAATCAGGACAAGGGTCCTAAAACTAAAAGTCTGTACCTTAATGTTTTTATTACAATCTATTTTTGCGAGGAATCAGTAAATGAAAAAGTCAGAATAAATGGAAGCTCTTTTTTGGTGACTCATTTCTCTGCTTTTGTTTATTTTTCAGAATCCCAACAACGTGGTGAACTACGCCATACCAACTGGCCTGAATAACATTCAGAACTTGTTCACAATCAACCAAATCACCGGAGACATCTTCCTTCGCAGCAGCTTGATTGGCTCAACACAAGACAGATATGAGGTGAGGGAAATCTTTGGAGTGTTTTGCTTTATCTTTGGTAGACAGATATGAGGTAGATGAAACTGTTTTGTTAAGTTTACAGTAGATGAATTTGAATAGTACGTTTACAGTAGACAGATAGAGAGCGACATTATTTTCTTTTTCTTTATCTGTGGGAGACAGATATGATGTAGGTGAAAGTGTTTTTCTGAGCTTACTGTTAAAAGATATGAAGTGAGTGAATTTTTTTAGTGGTTTGCTCGGTCAACACAAGACCAGTATGAAGTGAATGTGATTTATGTATGTGGAAATATGTTCATGTGTTTGTGTGTCCATCCAATGTCTATTCATTTGCGTGCATCTGTGTATGTAAGTGTATGTAAGTGTGTGCGTGTGTGTGTGTGTGTGTATGTGTGTGTGTGTGTGTGTGTGTGTGTGTGTGTGTGTGTGTGTGTGTGTGTGTATGTACATGCTGGTGTGTGTGAGTGTGTTTTGACCCTTGTGTGTTCATGCATATATTTACTACGATGAAGAAAATTTTTCTTTGTGGAGATCAATAAAATTGTTATCCCATCTCATCTCATCTCATATTTTGTTCTACTGCTATCTATCCTCAGTTCCAAGTCTCAGTCTTCGACAATGGCAACCCCACTCTGTTTGGCCCTCAAGCGACGGTCGTGGTGAATGTGATCCGCAATCAGAACCCTCCGATCTTCATCAACGAGCCCTATGAAGCTCAGCTGGCCCAGAACGCGTTCATCGGAGTCTCGGTGGCTCAAGTCACCGCAACGGACGCAGACACACGGGTGAGTGAACCTTTGTCCCCCCCCCCCCCCCCCCCCCCCCGACTAAATTCAATAATAGATAAATATCATCTTAATAGTGCATATCCTCGCTCAGCAACAAGCTTTATATGAGCTTCATAATCTATATTACTTATGTGATGTCATACAAAAAATCTATTGTGTATTATTTGTAGAAAATTAACTCTTCTCCTGAGCTGGTCAATCATGCATGCTGTAATAATAATAATAGCAAAAATAATAATAATAATAATAATAGCAAAAATAATAATAATAATAGCAAAAATAATAATAAAAATAATAATAATAATAATAATAATAATAATAATAATAATAGCAAAAATAATAATCAAAATAATAATAGTAATAATAATAATAATAATAATAATAATAATGATAATAATGATAATAATAGTAATAATATTAGTTCATCTATCTTGAACTGACGATGACCTTAAACATCCAAGGAAGAAGGAAGGTTATAAATTTTGCTATCTACCACAGGAAGCTAGCATGGTAAATAGAGCAAAGTAAACAAAATGATAGCAATTTGTAATGATACCAGAAGCCCCAAGGCACTGCAGATAGCAGCGTACTCTATATTTGATAAATTACTTCCGAGGAAATAAAAAAACATCTGGTGTGTGGTTATTTGTTTTAGGAGCTGGATTTTTCACCGGTGGGAAATGTAAGATATTTCTCAAGTTATTAATAATAATAAATTAATAATAGATAGCATTTGTATAGCTCATATCCCCGCTCAGCAGCAGGCTCTATGCGCTTTACACTATATTATTACAGCGAAAGATCTTGTCAGTTTGTTAGTGTTTGAGCGCTTAATCGGCTGCTTGCACTGTATGCTTCCCGGGAAGCTGAGAATGTTTCGAAGTGTTCTATGGTCTACTGTGTTCAAGAACAAGAGGAAACTAGAAGAAATATCTTTCAAATTTTTCTCTTAGTACGAGTGCAGTCGACACGTTTATGATTAAAGTGTGAACATGCTTTACAGTTTTGACAGTCAAAATACAGTCTAACCTGTTCTAATAGCCATCTGTCTAAGACAGCCATGTATACAAATGACAATCCGTGTATGAATTCCTCCCTTGCGTATTTTTCTATATTATAATGACACTCTCCAAGACATTCAACTTCATAAGACAACCACTTTTCTCCTCAACAATGAATGGCCGTCTTGGACAATTTTGACTGTATCTCTTCCATTTTTTATTCATTTTCCAAATAATGAGCTGTGTTTGTGTTTTTGATCCAGGCACCGTACAATTCCGTAATCTATGACATCATCGATGATGACTATATAAGACAACCACTTTTCTCTTCACAATGAGTGGTTGTCTTGGACAATTTTGACAGCATTTTGAAATGTCTGTCGCTCTTTTGCATTTTTGATTGATTTTCTAAAGAACTATGTTTTGTTTGTTTGTTCCAGGCACCGTACAATTCGGTAATCTATGACATCATTGGTGATGACTCGGCTCCCAGCTACTTCTCCATCAACTCAGCGTCTGGTGTCATCAGCCTGGCCCAGTCGATCGCCGCTGACCCCACTGATAAGTACACGGTCAGTGGATGACTTCACAGTTGGTGGGATATGTACATAGGGAGTGGGATATGTACATAGGGAGTGGGATATGTACATAGGGAGTGGGATATGTACTTAGGGAGTGGGATAAGTACATATGGAGTGGGATATGTAGACAGTTAGTGAGATATGTACATAAGAAGTGGGATAAGTACATAGGGAGTGGGTTATGTAGACAGTGAGATAATTACACCGTTAAGGTGATTTTGAGGTTTTTCTAAATTTCCACAAGATATTTGAGCTTGACCATGTTGAAGCCTGGAAATAATCTATAAAATATAAGTGAAGATCTTGAAGAGTTTTTTTGCAACACAAATAGTTCATAAAAGTGACGAAGATTAGAGGTGTTACTAACGAGAAATATACAAGGGAAAAGAGGAGGAGAGATGAGGATTATAGATGTTTGATAGAAAAGAAGGAGCAGACCACACTGGATTACCTGTAAACCACCCGCTGTTCTCGTTCTCCAGATCCGAGTGCGTGCCCAGGATGGCGGCAACCCAATCCTGAGCGACATCACCAAGGTCGAGGTCACGGTAGACAGGAACCTGTTCTCCCCACTGTTCAGAGACACGTCCTACGCCAACCAGATCCTGGAGACCCAGGCTGTCGGCTCTGCTGTTGGCATCCGAGTGGAAGCGACGGATTCTGACACCACGGTATGACAGGATAAGATTCTCACACTAACCGTTTAATTTCTTAGTTTATAAAAATCTTTTTTTTTAAAGATTAATTGAACATTATTTTCTTTGGTATATAAAACAAGAGTATACATATCACATTGATGCACACAAATATAACATACATATATATTATACACGTAATATGCTTCCACATTCCTTGAAGACATATTGAAGCATGAAGCAGTATTCCTGAAATTAGGAATTTCCCGGACAGAATGAAGTTCTTGTACGATTCTGATATGAACTATTAATTTGCGAATCTCCCCTAGAATTAGCTTTCAAACTACCAAGTGGGTTCTTGCAGGGTGCTCTAGTGTGGTTTTTCCTCTTCTTTCCTATCTAACATCTATCGTCCTCTTCTCCCCTATTCTTTTCTTCACACGTTACTATCCAGTGACATCTCTAACTTTCAGCATTAATACCACCTAATTGTGTTGCAAGTACCCGTAAAATTCTAACTAAGCCTACCATAAAACATACCACTCACCTGGCTGTCATGCTCCTTTCTCAGTCTCCCAACAACGACGTTCGGTACAGTCTCATCGGTGACACTCTGGATGAGTTCTACTTCGCCATCGATCCGATCAGTGGTGTGATCACCGTCAAACGGTCCCTTGCAGACGAGCTCAACAGGAACGTATCCATCTTCCAGGTACTACGACTGCCAGTAATAAGGGAGATAATTTCTGTAGCGCCGACTTAATGGACCCTCAGTTTGGTTGATTTTGGGTCAAGCTGTGCAAATTGAGATGTTGGCTGATTTTTTAAGGTTAACCAGTTCGTAGTTTGAGAATAGCAAGGAGGCTATTGAGAAAATCTTTATTCTCGTCTGAATTTGCCTTTGAAAACATGAGGCTGGGTTAAAATATAGTGAATTTTCACAATAATTGTTGTTTTTCTCAAAATGTAATTTTTTCTCAGCTTTTCCACTACTCATTCCTTAGTTTTCATCCTTTTGACATGAAACTTTCAGGAAACATAGATGGTGTACATTGGGAAAATTCTCATGTTTCTTTTTCATTTACAGTTATTTAGAAATACTCTCTGTTACGTTGATAGAGACTGGTCAGGTATACTCTCACCAAATTTCGTCAATTGTGGTCAGTAAATAAGAAAGCCTTACAGATTTTTAATTCATTGTTTATCTTCAAGATGTCGGCCTTTTCCATAGCAACCATTTTAGCTATGCAAAAATAAAAGTACGTATGAAGAGACTTTTATATGCCTAATTTATATGTGTACTTAGATTTGATCTCGGGCAGAAAATAGACTTTGAGGGTTGCTCCCCATGTTAACATATGCCGTGCAGCTCTAGATGCTTTGCAGTAAATTCATCTGAACAAAAAATACAACTGCTTGAACGTACATTGTACTAAGACAAAATATGATAAGATGTGATAGATAAGACAGAAGAAAAGAGACAAGGTGATGAGATAAATGTTATTGCTCCCTCATAAGGAGAAATTAACGGAGTGTGTTCACATACTTCTGTTACTCAAATTTCTTCGACTCCCCTGATCCAGATCCATCGTCATCTGTATTTTATATGCTAAGACATCTATCATGCAATGTTGGTGTAAGTCTGAAAGCAGTTGTCTTTCCTTGGTTTTCAATTTGGTTTTTGGGGTGAATTTGACTGTGAAACTGATAATTTTTGTGGAATTATTTGTAACATTTTTATTAAAGTATGTATGTTAATTGCTCTTGTTCGTGATTGCTGCATGTATTTTAATGCCTTCACAGGCTACAAATAGTTCTATATCTTGTTAAGCATATTGAGTATTGTAAATTATGGAAATGTTTTATACAAATGCTATAGATTATGATATAAGAAGTACTACTAGTAGCAATAGTAGTTAGTAGTAGCAGCAGCAGCAGCAGCAGCAGTAGCTGTAGTAGTAGTTGTAGTAATAGTGGTAGCGGCAGCGGCAGCAGCAGCAGCAGTAGCAGCAGCAGCAGTAGTAATAGTGGTAGTAGTAGTAGTAGTAATAGTAGTAGTAGTAGTAGTGGTAGTAGTAGTAGTAGTAGGAGGAGAAGGAGGTGGAGGAGGAGGAGGAGGAGGTGGAGTAGTAGCAGTAGTAGTAGTAGCAGTAGTAGCAGTAGTAGTAGTAGTATTTGTAGTAGCCTTTCTGTAGCATTCATGATATGATATTTCCCTCATCTACCACCTTGTAGTTCCAAGCCTTGGCCACCGATCTGGGCACCCCACAGCGCCAGTCGTCCCCCGTGGATGTGACCATCTCCGTGCTGAGGAACCAGTTCCCCCCAGAATTCATCAATGAGCCCTACAACCGAGTCATTCAGCAAAACGAGCTTGGAGGCTCCAGCGTGTATCAGACCACAGCTATTGACAGGGACACTACGGTACAGTAAACCTTCTGATCTCTTTATTTGATTGGAGGAAGACATTATAGTTGAAATTGTCCAAGATGGCCACCCATTGTTGAGGAGAAAAGTAGTGAAGGGACATTTGAATATCAAGGCCCCAAGATCTGGAATGCTTTGCCAAGTACTTTAAGAACGATCAAATCCTTTGATTCATTCAAACGTCAGCAGTCTGTTTTTTAATTAATAAGATGAATATTTGGCGTTATTTTTTTTTGGTCAGAACACAAAGTTTTTTGTTACTATTGTACGCTGTACTGTATTGTAAAGCGCTCAGAGCCTGTGTATTTTAATCGGGGTTGAGAGCTATGTAAATGTCTTTTATTATTATTATTTTTTTAGACTGGTGGAGGTCTTGGACAGCAACATTTTTCATGGTAGAGAAAAAAATCATTTAATTCTTTTAACAGTTGTACCTAAATTATGCATCTTCTTTTGCTTTTCCCCCAACATTTAGAATTTTAATTTGGACAAAATATTTCTCTTGACTTGTTGACTCTGTACCTTTTGTTAAATACGTAGAAAATATCGTAGCCAGCTGCTCCTGCTCTTATTGTCCTTTCTTTCTGACAGTGTATGCTTGAAAGGGGTTTAACAAACCACACTTTGCTCTCTCTCTCTCTCCACAGAGTCCATTCAACAGCCTGACCTATGAGCTGATCGGTGATGGGAACACGCCAGCTTTCTTCCAAGTCAACACTGCCACGGGTTTGTTGTCACTCCGCATCAACGCTGATATTGCATCGGACACTGGTTCTATCTATGTGGTAAGTTGGCTGTAAACATCTTGAGGAAAACAAATATGAACATTAACCCGCCTAGCTTTGAGATGAAATCTTTTTATGAAAAGAGAAAAAAGGCGTTAAAGTACTTGGAGGAGTGACGTAGATGTTGAAGAGATGCAGCTGGACATCTGCATTATTATTAATATGTGAGGCATTGTGGTGAAATCAGGCGTTCGAGAAAATATTGAAACCAAAGAAATCTGTATTTTTTGGCCGATGTGCAATTTTTTTCTAATTTTCTTTGTTTGGCTCAACACCTTTTATGTCCTTTTAAAAGCACATTTTTGTGTGGATTTTACTGATTGATTAAAGGCACAAAAAAAGTAGATTTTCAGTTTCCAAGGACTCTCAGGCTATTGAAGTTTCCAAACCTTGGCGGCCATTTTCTTGCTAATTTTGCCTGTGAAATGAGGTGACCCTGACCTACTTCAATTGTAACTTTTTAATATTTCGACTTCTTTTCAAGATAGATGGATTTTTTTTACCAAAAGGAAGACAAATGAACAGGTTTTAAGATGATACCAATAGCCCCCTATACAAAAAAATTAACGACCGCCTGATTCTGCAGCGTCGGGACACATATTATTATTATTATTATTATTATTATTATTATTATTATTATTATTATTATTATTCTTTTAATGATTTTTTATGTCTTTTTGTCCTGTTCAGGCTCGTGTGCTGGCCAAGGACGGAGGTGTCCCCTCGAGAACAGCGACGTCCACGGTCTCTGTGAACGTGATCAGGAACCTCTTCCCTCCTATCTACAACAACTCTCAAATCCTGCAGGTGCTGGACATGTCTTGCTATTGTCTCAAAATGGCAATTCATATTCTCAAACAAATTTACTATTTCTTGTTAAGTGGCAGAGACCGAATCAGTTTTTCTAATAATTTTAAGAAATTTGTGATTTGTTTCACAGCACCTGCAACACAGATAAGTCAAATCAGTGCTGGAGATTAGAGGTGTTACTAGAGAGTAAAATAAATTTCAAAAAAGGAAAGAGTAGAGATAGGGATGATAGGTATTTGAAATGTACGAAGGAACAAACGGCACAAGAGCATCTGCCAACCATCCATGTATATTTTAAAAAAAAGAACTTTCTATTAAATCACTGCTGTTGCTTTAAGTAGAGAAAATGGGCAGAGCTGAGGTAGGAATCTCTTACTGTGGATGCAATGATGTTTGATATTTTCTTCATAAAAGACTGCGCTTGCTTTAGAACTATGTGTTGTGATTTGGAGAAGAAAAAAATTATGTGATCGAGATTGCTACAATAAGCAAAGGATGAAGGAAAAAGATTAGGGTAAAATTTAAAATGAAATTTAAAATGTACAAACATTTTTCTTTCAACTTAAGGAACAACATACTACTTCTCTGTGTACAGAATATTTTGTAGTGAGGAACAACATTTGTAGGAGTATGCTTCTCTGTGTGAAGAGTGTTTACGGGGGATTACCTCTTGTTGTGTATCTTATCATGCATTATGTTGTCACTAACACTATTGTTGGATGTTTTCCCCTGGCAGAGAGAAATCCCAGAGACGACGACTGTGGGTTCCTTCATTGCCAGACTCTTCGCCTTTGATGCTGACACTACTGTAAGACTTTGCTTATACTGTTTTTCTTAATGTAGATAATTTAGAAGGCGGGCTTTGGCCCTGGCTGTCATTGCTAACCCTAACCAGGCTGTCATTGCTAACCCTAACCAGACTGAGAGGGATATAATGTCTCTGCAAAAAGGCAGAGACACTCCATAATAATTCTCTTCATTTAGGAATGGAACTTGGGTCTTAGGCAGGCAACGGCAAAGTGCAGGATCGCTACACCACTCATAGGCTGGTTGTTTTTCTTAGTTTTGTTTTTGTCTTTATAAACCTGACATGAAACATTGTTTGTTCTGAACTTTGCTAACACCAGGATGAAGCATTTGAAACTGAGTAATGTTTGGAACTAGAATATTTTGTCTTTGGTAGTGAGTGACACTTGATTGATGTGCACTGCTGCTCACATGGCATGTGTGGACTCGAGATAAAAGGATCAAGATTATTGTTCACTTCTCAGTTTTGAATAATTTTTTTTCCAACCTAAAGCATTGTGAACCAATATTGATGATAACGGAACAATCGTTAATGATGGCAGTAGGAAGAACTAATAATGATAATTATGAAAATAATAATAATAGTAATTGTTATACTCTTGTGTATATAATAGTGTATAACATAGAGAGGTCATGATAGACGGGTTGAATGAACTTTTGTTGTTGGGCACTGTTGTACAACTTTTCAGTATGATGTTAGTGGGTTTTAGACTGCTGGACATTAGTAATGATTCATGTTCACATTACATTGAATTACATGTTATAAATACCAACTATGTAGCAGTAATAATAATTATATTTATATACTGCATATCCATTCTTTACAGCATGCTACTTGCACTTTACTAGTATTACCTCCCAAGCTGATCCTAGAACGCCCAGAAACATTCTCAGCATCCCCAGACGCATACAGTGCAAGCTTAGCTGATCATCTCTATAATAACAACATTCTGTTTCACACCTACTGCACATTTGAAGATGCTAAGGTACTATATTTCTTTCTGTGAATCACAGGCTCCTAACAATGAGGTGGTATACTCCATCGTTGGGGACGATCGTGCTTCGGAATTCTTTTTCGTCAACCCAAACACGGGAGAGATCACTTTGCTCAAGTCTGTTCAAGATGTTAACATCAACTTGTTCAGGGTGAGTAAAAGTCTTATTCAGCTATTTCTGTTCAAGATGTTAATATCAACTTCTTCTTCAGGGTGAGTATTGTAATGGCTTCATTTATTCAGGGGATTGGATTGGTATTATCAGACAGGGCTCAGAATGTTAACATCATTCTCTTCAGGGTAATTATCGTAGTATACCCTTCTCTGTCTCTTTCCCTGCTCTGTAGATGCACTTTTTAGGGGTAATTTAAAACAAGCACCAAATTGTTGTTCCTACAGATTTTTCACTTCTGTTTTCTTTATGTGAAACTTAGAAAGGCAGACAACAATACTATTTCAACTATGAAATAAGCAATTTTATGTGTTTGATTGTGCATGAAGCTTGGAAATATGCCTCAACATTGCATTTGGTGTGCTGCTGATCCAATATGTTATGTGTTCGCTACATCCTTAACCCTATCCCTACGCCTTGGGGTTATTTTGTAACCCCAGGTTGTATTGTTCACATTTTAAAATACGTCTAGTGCGAAGATCTCTTTGAAACTTTCAGTATTTCTCGAAAAATCATTTTGACAGACTGCTATGAAAAGTGTACGAATTCGTTTAATGAGAAAATTTCCTCTTTGGAAAGTGGTGGCACAGAGTTCCCAATGTCGTATGGATGCGATAGTAAAACACGACGTACGGATAGGGTTAAAGAGTTAACAGAAAATTTTTCTGTCCTTAGATCCGAGTGCTAGCTCAGGATGGCGGTAGCCCCTCGCGGTCTGACCAGACGTACGTGGAAGTCACAGTGCGTAGGGAGACCGGCGTCCTGTCCTTCACCTTGAGCAGCTACACGGTGCAGATCAGCGAGAACACCAACGTCAACGACTTCATCGTCACAACAGGAGCACAGCCGGGCGTAAGTTACGAATACCACACCTAGATGGTCGCTTTTAAGCACATGCTGTTATGATGTTATGTATTCTTGATATTTGATCTAAATCAGACGAGCACAAGACGATAGCAAACATTCAGCCATATTGATTTCATGGGGAAGGGAAGTGTTTATTTTCGTATCGAACATCTTCACTATATTCGAGTATAAGTATCGAACATCATGACACATGCGGGCTAACCCAGATTTTGGGGGTTTCCAGAAATCTTGACCTACACCAAAAATGGGCATTTCCCTACCTATAGGAGAAGTTTGGTTTCCATTGGTGTTTATGTTTGGTTACAGAGTAAACTCTCCTTGTATTTTAAAGAAACTGAACAAGGGGCAAAAACTTTACCTTTGATAGCCCCCTTGTGGTTAAAAGTGTTCACATTTCTATGAAAAGGCTCGCTTGTGTAGTTAAAGTGTCTGATTCAATCATTCAGTGACACCACCATATTCAAAGGATAATGCATGCTGAAGGAGGTCAACGTATCAAATGAATTGAATTCCCAATTTATTGATCCATTGAAGAAACGGAATAAATATTGTATTGTTGAAATACTACCTTTATTGTATTGTTGGCAACTTGGTTTTAATAATAATTGATGATGAAAATAATAATAATAGTTATAATAATAATAATAATTATAATAATAATAATAGTAATCATACTTAAGTGCATTCTTATAGCACCTACTCCCTTGTGCCCACAGCTCTAGGTGCTTTACACTGATCAAAGTGCAAAACAATAACCGGTCATTGCTCTTTCAGTCTTGCAAAGATTGAAAGAAGAAGTAAGTTTATCTGTGTTATTTATCTGTTCTCTTCTTTTGTCTTCCAGAACCCGACCTATCGTGTGCTTGGCTTTAGCCCCGCCCCCAGCTACTTCGGCATCAACGGAAACTCTGGTGTGATCACTCTACGCTCCGACTTGAGGCAGGACCCAGCCAGGCTCACTTTCTATCAGGTTTGTAATCGATTTGATTCTTTTTGGGGGGGCTTTTGTAACAGTTTCCGCTCTGCTAGACATAATTTTGTAATGTTGAGGGGACCCCCCCCCCCAAACTCTGTCTGTCTCTCCCTCTCTCTCTTCTGTTTCTCTTTCTCCCCACCTCCCACTCCCTCCATCTTTCACTCTCTGTCCTTCCCCCTTCTCCCTCTCCCTTTTTGCTTACTTCCTCCCTTTTTATCATTTCTCTCTATAATGCACACACACACACACACATGCACACATACACACACACGCACTCACACATATACACACACACATACACACACACACACGCACACACACACGCACACACACACACACACAATCACACACACACATGTAATCTCAATTTGTATCATTGACATGGCGTTTAGGTGGGGGGTCACGTGATGTGCCCTTGGGCAAGACACAATATATAAACTTAACCAAAAAAAATAACAGGGCACACACAGAGGGGACCAGCAACAATAAGTGGATTCTTCATGTTCGTGATATTGTGTATTGTTCCTGCATTTATATATTATGTATTTGTTTATTGATGTATGCCATTAAAAAAAAGAAGTCCAAATGGGCTTAATAATTTAGAATTTATTTATTATTTTATTCATTGATGCAATAAAGCACACAAGGAGAAAATCCGAGCTGACCAAGAAGACAGACAACAAAAAGGAGTGGGGCACCATGGTCCATGATCATCAATATCTGGTCCAGACCCGACACTTGCAGAAGAGGAAGAATCTAAATTAAAATATGATAATATAGATTGTCATTTAACACTTTGCGGTCACTTGGCGCAATAATGCGTTGGTGAAAATGATACATTCCAGTCATCTAGTGCAGTTCTATGTCAGGCCCGAGAAGTCCATTGCAGTCACTCTCCTGGCTGGGTGACCAGATGGGGTATTTTGTACAGCTGGCTGTGTGACTGCAAAATGTTAATGGAGTTTATTCTTGTTGCAGCTGTTGGTGGAAGCTCAGGCTGACACAGGCCTCAGCATCCAGACGGCCACAGCCGTCGTGAACATCACGGTCCTGAGGAACGAGAACGGACCGGTGTTCACCTCTGTCAACTATGCTACGTCCATCCAGGATACCATACCCATCGGGACTTTCTTGGTCAAAGTGGTGGCCAGTGATGCTGATGGCGTAAGTCTTTACCGTTTAATTTGTGAGGACCGTTTGAAAGTGAAGAAAAAGGAAAATGTTTTTTTGTTGTTATGAGATAGAACGTTTATGTATGTCGTAATGACATGATACTCAGAGCGTGTTGCTGGAAATTTTATAAGTACAATTGAACTTGTCTTTAAAGACCATAACTGGAGAATAATAAAATGAATCTATTAGTTAGAAGTAAACAAATACATGAATTGATTCATATTAACAAAGATATGAATAAGAATTAGTGAACGAGGGAAGTTGCCAACAGTTATTTACATTAAGAAATGAATGAATGAGGGAGAAAAGAGTTTTTGAATAAATGGACAAGTGTTATCAACTGTCTTATAAAAAGGATAAAAAGAACAAAGAATTGTTTGCTATTGGATCTCTCTCTCTCTCTCTCTCTCTCTCTCTCTCTCTCGCTCTCTCTCTCTCTCTCGCTCTCTCTCTCTCTCTCTCTCTCGCGCTCTCTCTCTCTCTCTCTCTCTCTCTCTCTCTCTCTCTCTCTCTCTCTCTCACAACATTTCAGGGATACAAAGTCAGACACAAAATAAAAGAAATTCATTAAAAAAAATTCTTTATGAAATGCCATGTTAATATTCTTTCTATTCAGAGTACTTTTTTTTACTTCCTGTGGTGTGCATATAGTCATTGATTGTTCTGTGATAGATTGAATGTCAGCTTATGTGTTGATGTTAATCAATAGAGTATAGAGCCTATGTATGTTCAGTCAAGGATACATGTTTTGTGTTAGGGAGTGGGCACTATAGAAATTATCTGCTTTATTATTATTATTATCGTTGTTACATCTCTCTGTTCTCCTTTCAGGACATTATTGACTACAGCATCATCGACACTGTGGACACGATATACTCCGACTTTGTCTTCCTCAATCCACGAACCGGAGATATTTCCACGAAGATCTCCCTTCTCAACACAGATCTACTGAGGGTAAGTGCAGGTCTTGAAGACTAAAATAGTAGGCATGAGCAAACTATGGCTGTGGTCTGCGAGAAATTTCTGTCGAACCGGCAAGTTGACCCAGTAATTGATAATGAATGTAGTCATTGGTGAGTTGATGATTAATATAGAACAAAACTGTCTGTCTTGAAATTTAAAATTAGTAGTTTTTGGGTCAAATGAAGCAACAGATCGAATATTTTATCTCATGGAGTGCCCTTGAGTACATATGCTATTGTGTCAGTTTTAGTATCACTCTTGAGGGCGTGTGTATTAGAACAGATGTTACCCATTTTTGTCCTACTTTGGCCATAAGATATTCAGATTCGCTTTTTTCATTTTGCAAAGTTAACATGCTTGCCCGTGCTTGACTTATTGTAAAACAAAACTGAAAATATCTGAGCATTTCTTGAAGAGCAAAATAAAAAAATCATGTACATAGTGTTGTCCTCTTGCGTGCATTTGTGAGTTATGTTAATTTTAAAAAATCATCCTACTTTTATCCAAAATTTCTCTTGTGGATCAAGAAAGTTTTTCTTATCTTATCTTAATTTATCTTGTCTTGTTTTGTCTTGTCTTGTTTATCTTATCCAATCCTATCCTAGCCCTTCCTATTTAATCTTATCTTATCTCATCTCATCTCATCTCATCTCATCTCATCTCATCTCATCTCATCTCATCTCATCTCATCTCATCTCATCTCATCTCATCTCTCATCTCATCTCATCTCATCTCATCCATCAGTTTCAAGTGCGAGCCAGTGACCAGAGGATTCCCGAGAGGACCAGCATCTCTAACGTGACCATCAGTGTACGACACGATGTCTTCGCCCCCGTGTTCCTCAATGACCCGTACTTCGGCAGCGTCGCGGAGTCGTCGTTCAACGGAACTTCTGTGTCTCGGGCCACGGCGACAGACCAGGACCTTGTGGTAAGTCATGGTTTGTCTGGCTGTTACCCAAGTTGGGATCATCCTGAATTACTATATGGGTGTAGGTGGTTGGCGGGTGCTCTGGTGGGGTTTGCTCCTTCTTTCCTGTCAAACATCTATCGTCCTTATCTCTTCTCCTTCTTTTTTGCGTGTGTTATAGTTCTCTTGTAACACATCCCTTCTTCATCACTTAAATGACCTTATTGTGTTGCAAGTGACATAAAACTCTTACTTAAATTAAAACTACTATGTGGGTGGCGCTTGTTTGAATCCTGAATGTGGTATGTTTGGACCCCTGTGTGGACGACCCTGGTGATATTTTTTAGTTTGGGATGTTGAAAAGTCCTTGTTACCCTTCACCTACTTGACTTTTTCCTATTAGAGATAATGTTGAGATGTAATTTTTTTTTCTGAAGTCGGTGGCCTAGTGGTTAGGCTCTCGGACTTGCAACCGTAAGGTCGTGGGTTCAAATCCCATCAGGGGATGATGTTGTGTCCTTAGGAAAGGCACTTTACACACATTTTCCTCACTTCACCCAGGTGAGAATGGGTACCCGGCTATAGACAGTGAAAGATCTTGTCAGTTTGTTAATGTTTGAGCCCTTAATCAGCTGCTTGCACTGTATGCTTCCCGGGAAGCTGAGAATGTTTCTGAATGTTCTATGGTCTGCTGGGGTAATAATATTGTGTAAAGCGCATAGAGCTTGCTGTTGAGCAGGGATATGCGCTATACAAATGCTATTTATTATTATTATTATTATTATTATTACCCCTGCTGTGTTTGCCTTCTACTTTACCAGTGAGATCAAGGTGTTCAAAGCCTTTAAGTATAGTGTGTTAGAAACTGAATTTGTTGCTTTGTAAATGTTCTTATCACCTAGCCGGGAGAAAAGGCTCGTTTGAAAATCTTGAGATTGTTGCATAAGAGTAATCGGGGACTGAATCAGGGACTGAATTTTTAGATTGGAGCAGCAAAATATAATAGTCCCAACTGAAAGGAAAAGATCCATGCAGTCTAGAACTTACTTGACTGGCCTCTACTTTTTTGGGAGTGATGAATATTATTAAATATATTAGAAAAACGCTTGAAAACAAACTGGAAAACTTTTCCTGTGGTGCCTAAACTATTTCCGTTTCATTTACTCAACAGAGACAAGGCAAATAGTTTATCTGGATTTTAAAATATTAATGAAAAAACCCCCCAACAACAACTAAAATTTCAGCCAACTAGTTTATCTGGATTTTTAAATATTAATGAAGAAAAACCCCAACAACAACTAAAATTTCGGCCAACTAGTTTATCTGGATTTTAAAATATTAATGAAGAAAAACCCCAACAACAACTAAAATTTCGGCCAACTAGTTTATGTGGATTTTAAAATATTAATGAAAAAAACCCCAACAACAACTAAAATTTCGGCCAACATTTTGCCTGCCAATTGTACTCAAACCAAAATATATGTCTTCATACGTAGTGCATGTCATTATTACTCAAAGGAAATATAAGAAACTCAGTGCTTTTGCTTCTAAGAAAATATTTGAAGCTCAATGTTTTTTTCTTTCAGGGAAGTCTTCAGTACGAGGTGCTGCCTGTTGGGGTGGCTCCAGCGTTCTTTACGATCAACAGAAACAACGGTGTTGTGACTCTCTTTGACCGCTCGGCTCTGCTGGTGGACAGAGCAACTTCATACGCTGTGAGTTGGATAGTTTTGTGGTGTTGGTTGTTGTAAATCAGACACTGGTAAGTGTATCCAAGGATGAAGGGATCCTGAATACACTATCGAGACAGAGCAACTTCATACGCTGTGAGTTGGATAGTTTTGTGATGTTGGTTGTTGTAGATGAGGCACTGGTAAGTGTATCCAAGTCCTGGATGGGATGAAGTGATCCTGAATGCCCTGCCAAAACAGAACAACATCATATGTGAGACATCGTGGTGAAATCAGGCGCTCGTCAAAAGAATTAAGTCCGAGAAATTGGCATTTTTCAGCCAGTTTAGAACTTTTTTTTCGAATTTTTGTTTTTTTGCTCAACCCCTCCTTTGTCCATTCAAAAACACTTTTTTGTGTGAGTTTTATGGAAAAACGTTGATTAATGGCACAGCAAATTTAAATTTGCAGTTTCTAAGGACGCTTAATCTATGAGATCTACCAAACTTTGGTGGCCATTTTCTCGTTTATTTTGCCTCTGAAACCAGATGACCCCCCTCCTTCAATGGCAGATATCTCGACTTCTGTTAAAGTTAATTTATAGATAATTTTTCATCGAAGGCAAGCAAATGAACAATCTTTTAGATAATACCAATAACTTCATATGCCCCAAAATTGACGAGCGCCTGATTCCACAACGTCGCGACACATACGCTGTAAGTTGGCCGGTTTTGTAGTGTTGGTTTTTTGTAGATGAGGCGTGGACAAGTGTGTCCAGTCCAAGTTGTGGACCGGATTAAGGGATTCTGAATGTCCTGCCGGGTTAAATTAGGAGAAAAATTAGTGAAATCGGTTGAAATACCCAAATTTTATAAAGCATGTTTAAAAGTTACTCTATATCATTATGAAGGGTGTTTCAAGAGATAAAATATTAGAGCTATTGCTTCCATCTGGGCTGGACACTATTACATATAATTTTCAAGATAGATAGTTTTGTTTTTATTGATTATCAACTAAACCTGGGTCACATTCATAATATAAGATAATATTGTCCTCGATGCTTTGATGGTAGCATTGCTCTGAAGCCTTGGCACATATTCTGTTGTATTGGCTGTTTGAAATAAGATAAGATGAAGTGCAAAACACACTCAGACAGACAGACAGACGCACACACACACACACACACACACACACACACACACACACACACACACACACACACATATACATTCACTCACTCACTCACACACACACTCAAACAAATACACACACACACACACACAATCCAATACACGCACACACACAAACAAATACACACACACACACACACACACACACACACACACACACACAAACAAATACACGCACACACACACACACACAAGTTCATACATGCACACCCTTCACTTCTCTTCAACACACATAGTATTTGCGTGCACACGTAGTATGTAATTACATTCTCAATAAGACTCACAGTCACACGCATTTATGACGATATATGATAATCATATTTCTCAATGTTTTCCAGCTGTCCATCATCGTGTACGACTCTGTGTACCCGAACAACCGCGACACGGCACAGGTGACAATCAACGTGATCCGTAACCCGTCGGGTCCAGCGTTCTCTCTGCCCCAGTACGTGACCACAATCCCGGACACTTTTGAGCTGGGGCAGAGCGTCTTGCAAGTGACCGCCGTTGATTCTGATGGTGTAAGTGGCTTTTCAGAAGGCTTTTTAGAAATAATATCATAAGAATGTTTATATTCCTGGTCTTTTGAAAATTCAGGATTTAGAAAATCGTAGATGCCTGAATTAAGAGTAAAGGAGTCATGTATCTGCAATTTTGAACAGCACATGCTGACTTGAAAGATGAAAAGTGGATGGATAATGGGAATTAGGCTGCTGGATTCGTAACTGTCTTTTTCTCAGAGATCATTTTAGGGGAGTTGGGAGTCATATCCTAATATTTAAAATCCCTATATGTTCATATCCTGTGACACCCACAAATACTTACGTATAATGCATTTTTTCCCCCAAGCACCACTTATGTCTTTTTAGAAATCATTGTCTGAGTTTTCTTCCTTTACGAGTATGTAAGTAGGTGGTGGGTGGATCTTGTATGTCCTTCGTCTTTACTCTCCCCTTGTTTCTTCTGCCTGTCTACTTTGCATTTTCTTAGGTTGAAATAATGGTTATAGAAAGGCTGATGCCAAGAGAGAAGCCTGAAAACTGTACACATCCAGAAGTGGAGATAAACTTTTCAAATGCTCAAAATATGGCAACTCTTCCTTACCAGAAGTGATCTCATCAGCCATAGCAGAAGTCCTTTTATCCTTTTATCCTTTATTTCTTTTGTTTCATTTATGAATTATTCTGCTCTGCAGATGCATTGGTCATTGTTAGACAGTGAATGAAGAACTATCATTGTGATCTTTAGTGATGGGCTATCAAGTTAATATGCTTCCTTTGACTGGAGAGTTTGACCCCGTACTTTTTATACCCTTGACCTTTCAGGATGTTGTGAAGTACGAGCTTGTGGGCGATGCCCGAGCCCTGGAGTATTACTACCTGAACCCAGACACGGGTTTCATCTCTCTCAAGAAGCCTCTGACTGAGGGCGTACAGATCAGTGACCAGGTGAGCTGTGGGGTTAACCTTTTGGTTACCGGCTTGGAAATAAAACCTGCTTGGTAATAAAAGGGCCTGCTTGGCAATCAGTGGAAAGAGCAACAGCGCATCAATGGACATGTCCGGAATGCAGGGATGTTGCTTCCTGAAACAATGAATAATTACTTGCTTGGAAAAACTGTATTGGAAATGAGAAAAATATTGCAATGCAAGAGTAACAGATATTTCAAAATAAAGTTGAAATTGTCCAAGACAGCTACTCGTTGTTTATGAGAAAGTGGTTGTCATAGACAGGTGGACTTTCTAGACAGTGTCATTATGATAATATTAACACTTTGCAGTCACACAGCCAGCAGTAAAAAATACCCCATCTAGTCACCCAGCCACGAGAGAGACTGCAACGGACCTCTCCAGCCTGGTGACTGGAATGGATAATTTTCACAGGCGCATTATTGTACCAAGTGACTTAAAAATGTTAAAGAAACACAAGGTGGGAAAGTGGAAGTGATTGTTTGTACAGCTGAATATCATGGAGGGGTGATGATAGAGCAGGTAGACTGTAACTCAAATATCGTAGTACTGGGGCTCCAGTGGCTAAGTGAGTAGTGAGTTTTGACTCAAGCAATGTCAAGCAAGTGTCGGTGACACGGGGATCAGATGGGTGGTCACTGGAGTGTGTCCTTGAGCAAGACACGACAACCCTAGCTCAAATTACAGGGCGCTGCACAGTGGCGACCGACAGTGGCATTGTTAGTAAACTGTTCTGTATTTGTGTAATAGTGTGTATTTATGTATGTATTTATGCATGTATGTATTTATGTACGTACGTATTTATAATTATGTATTTATGTATGTATGTTTGCCATTGTAAAACAAAGTGCCCTTCTGGGACAAATAAAAGTGTAATTTATTATTTTAATTTTATTTATTTGTGTAGACTGATGAGTAAATGAATCGCTCCTCAATTTGTTGCTTTTGCAAATAGTTCCAGTGTCTTTGTCAGTCACAATCAATGCTGTTGGACTTTTGGTGTGGACACGAGTTTACTCTGAGACCAAGTACAGCTTAATTAATGTCAGGGTCATATGAGGATTGTCTTAAATTGTCAGATTTAAAGGTTTTCTTTTGCCTTTTCACTTCTTTTTTTTTAGTAAAAAAATATTTTTTGGTTTATTTTTTATCTTAAGAAATTGTTGTATTGTTTAAAAAAAAATTCTTGTACATGAGTTTTCCATTCTCTCCCCCCCCCCCCCCCCCCCCCGCAGTTGAATTCAGCTTTGATTCATTCATTCCTTTTTTTCAATAGTTAAAAAGAATGTTTGCTTCATTCCTTTTTTTAAAAATAAAAAGAAGTAAAAAGAAAGATGTATTGAAGCACAGAAAGATCTGTATTTATGCTTCGTAGATTATTCAAAGGCGTTTGATAAGTTAGACATGATCGAACTATTTAAAATACTGGAAAAGCTAGACATAGATGGAAAAGATCTAGGAATTATCCGAAATTTGTACTGGGACCAAAACGCTGCTGTACGAATTAATGGAGAATACAGTGAATATAAGCAGATCAGGCGAGGAGTGAGGCTAGAATGTGTTATGTCACCAGACCTCTTTAACATGTACAGTGAAACAATCCGTAGAAACATAGAAGAATGTCCAGGCCTCAAGGTAAATGGAGAAAATATTAATAACATCAGGTATGCAGAAGACACAGTTTTAATACCAGGCTCCGAAAAGGACCTTCAATTGCTTCTAGATACTGTTGTAACAGAAAGTGAACGTAAAGGATTATTGTTGAATGGAAAGAAAACAGAATGCATGGTAATATCACAAAAAGCGGCAAACCCTAGTTGTAATGTCATTAGCAAAGGTGAAAAGATCAAACAAGTGCAACAGTTTAGATATCTAGGATATATGATAACATCTGACGCCAAATGCTCCAGAGAAATAAAACGGAGAACTACAATGGCTAAGGCTAGTTTCAATAAAGTGAGCCCAATCCTGAAAAATAGAAACATCTCAATGAACACCAAAATGAAAGTCCTGAAATGCTATGTTTGGTCTACCCTTCTATATGGCTGTGAATGCTGGACAATCACTAAAGACAGTGAAAATAAAATAGAAGCAACAGAAATGTGGTTTCTTAGGAGACTGCTAAGAGTATCGTGGAAGGAAAAGAAATCAACTGAGGTAGTGCTTGATGAAGCCCAAGTGGGACGCTCAATGTTAAAAACAATCAGGAAATGACAAATGCAGTTTTTGAGACACCGCGCGACTGCTAAGAGTATCGTGGAAGGAAAAGAAATCAAATGAGGTAGTGCTTGATGAAGCCCAAGTGGGACGCTCAATGTTAAAAACAATCAGGAAATAACAAATGCAGTTTTTGGGACACCTGAATAGACATAAGGGTCTTGAACATCTAGCTCTCACTGGCAAAATTGAGGGCAAGCGAGGCAGGGGTAGGCTCAGAACAACATACTTAGGGAACCTAAACAAATGGGTAACAGGGAAAGATCAGGGAAATGTAGCATTTTTGAGAGCATCCGAGCAAAGGAATGAATGGAAAACCATGATCGCCGATGTCTGTCGCAGATCTGGCACTGGATGACGAAGATGATAAAATTTTGTTTAAAATGTTCTAAATAAAAAAAAGATATATTATTTTTTTTAAATTCTTGTACTTATGTTTTCCATTCTCATCTCTCCCCAGCTGAACCTCCGAGCCCGAGACCAGGGTGTCCCCGAGCAGTTTGACGTGTCTGTGGCCATCATCAACATCATCCGCGACCAGCAGCTTCCTCGCTTCACCCAGCTGCCGTACCGCGTGACCGTACAGAGGACCGTGCCCGTCAATTCCACCGTGCTCCGCGCCAGGGCTGAGGATCTTGACCTGCAGGTACCACATTGTTTGTCACGATCTTGATCTGTAGGTATCATTTTTTGTCTCACAATCTCGATTTGCAGGTATCAGTTTTTTTTCTCACAATCTCGATTTGCAGGTATCAGTTTTTTTTCTCACAATCTCGATTTGCAGGTATCAGTTTTTTTTCTCACAATCTCGATTTGCAGGTATCAGTTTTTTTTCTCACAATCTCGATTTGCAGGTATCAGTTTTTTTTCTCACGATCTTGATCTGCAGGTATCACAATTTCAGCGGATATATGCCTTCATGGATTGCGAGAAGTAACTCATTTTGTCAGCATGCCTCACACATTTTCTTCCTTGGACTTTGAAGACATGTGAAGCATTCTGACAAAATGGTTTACTTCTCAGATTCTAACTGAATGGATAACATTTATAGGTTAGGTGCATATTATTTATTAACAGAAAAGGACAAAAGACAAGCTAAACTTGAAGAAAGTGGCGTCAGTTGAAAAATCTACAAATTTCACCCTTGTGTTTGTGTTCTACTTCTATCCTTATTCATGGATTGCGAGAAGTAACTTATTTTGTCAGCACCCCCTCACAGTTTTAGTAGTAAAGAGTTTTACGGCGCTTGCAACTGCATAAGGTCATATGAGGGTATCACCCCTAATAAATGTTCTTTTCAAGGGAAAGGGAACTCAAAGCCTTGGAAGTAAACCCCCCCCCCCCAAAAAAAAAAAATAATTGAAAAAGACGCAAAATGGAAAAAAAATAGCGTAAATTCTCCCTTTCTGAACAAGTGTATCTTTTTATATTTCAGGGAGAAATCAGGTTTGGTGTGATCGGCAACTACCCTGCTCCGACATTTTTCGACATCAATGAGGTCACCGGCAATGTCATCGTCACCCAAACTCTGGGGCTGGACAGTGTCAAGACCGACACATACTTTGTGAGTAGTGTTGTGTCAAAACAGACACATACTTTGTGAGTAGTGTAGTGTCATGACCGACACATACTTTGTGAATAGTGTAGTGTCAAGATTCAAGACAGACACATACTTTGTGAGTAGTTTAGTGTCAAGACCGACACATACTTTGTGAGTAGTGTAGTGTCAAAACAGACACACAGATACTTTGTGAGTAGTGTAGTGTCAACACAGACACATACTTTGTGAGTAGTGCAGTGTCAAGATAGACAAATACTTTGTGAGTAGTTTAGTGTCACGATACAAGACAGACACATACTTTGTGAGTAGTGTAGTGTCAACACAGATACACAGACATACTTTGTGAGTAGTACTGTGTCAAAATACAAGACAGACACATACTTTGTGAGTAGTGTAATGTAAACACAGACACACAGACACATACTTTGTGAGTAGTGCAGTGTCAACACAGACACACAGACACATACTTTGTGAGTAGTGTAGTGTCAACACAGACACACAGACACACACTTTGTGAGTAGTGGTGCATTCAATGGAAGAGTTTGCTCCCCTCCCCCCCCCCCCCCCCCCCCCGAGGCGAGGGGATACAATATTGTGTATAATTTGTTTCCTTTTGACTTGGGTTGGAGGATCCAGTGTCAGAGTCTCTGCAATTTCGTGTCCAATAGAACTTTAAAGGAATAAGCATGAGAAAAGACTGTGACACAGAATATTGTCACTGTGGTTAAATAATTTTGATCTTTTTAGTCATTTTTTTTCTAAGAATGGGAAAAAGACGAAAATAAAAGAGAAAATTTGTTTGGAGAATTGATAAGATTTGTTAAAGACCATTTTTCTATTTTGCATTGTACTAATCTGTCCTCCTATCTACCTTCTTAGCTTGCTAGTGTCAGCTCTAGCCAATTTTGCTCTTAGATTAAGAGATACATAGAGATTTTTGTCAGAACAAAATGTATTGTCTTTCTGGTACTACTTGTATTTCTAGAGCTCTCAATACTTGTGCTTTTTATTATTCGGATTGAGCGCTTTATAAATGCCAGATATTCTTATTATTTATCATTGTTATTTATCATCATTATTTATTTGTATTATTTATCATCATTATTTATCATTTATCGTTATGATTTATCATTTTGATTTATCATAATGATTTATCATTATGATTTACCTTTATGATTTATCGCTTTGATTTATCGCTATTATTTATCATTATTATTTATTATTTTCATTGTTATTCCCAGTTGAGCCTCATCGCCTTCGACAGTGCCTACCCCAGCGTCCAAGCCACTGCCACTGCCACTATATCGGTGAACCTCAACCCCAACCCACCCGTGTTCTTCCCCGTGAGCTACGAGAGAGTGGTCAGTGAAGACCTACAGATCGGCTCCAGTATCGTGGATGTGAATGCCACTGACTTGGATCCTTTTGTAAGAAAACCATTCTGTTTCTTTTAGTTTGTTCCATGAACATCTCTGAGCAGGTTCTGCTACATTCCTCATTAAATTAGATGTTTCAACTGTTTTCATCATATTCTAAATGTAGAATATAGAATTTTGACTTTAAAATATTTCTGGAGCTCATGCAACTGATACTACAGATTAAGAAAGTGCGATAAATTTTAAAAAGAAATTACGGCTTAGTAATTCTGAATGGTTGTTCATTCCAAAGAAATGACAATTGACGATTAATTTTTTTTTTCCCCGTGTCCTGATTTTGGTGCCCGTTTTTGTTGGTTACGTAAAAAGAAAGTAATGGTGCAGATTGTTATATGAAAGGGGAATTGTTGAGTCGGCAATGATGATAATGATGATGATAATGCTGCTGATGATGATGATGTTGTTGGCGATGGTGACGGTAATGGTAATTGTGATAGTGAGCATGAGGATAATTATTTATGTTGGCGATGATGATGTTCCGATGTAGGAAATGACATGCGTGTTAGTTTTTTAGTGTTAAGTTTGTTTGGTGCTTACTCTAGATCCCCACCAGGCTGTCCTGGGGGGCAGGACACAACCCTCATTCCGAACTCCTCGCATAGAGTGACCAAAAATTTGGAAATAATTCGTCATCTTCATCCCTAGCATTTAATAAAAGTAGGCCGAAAAATCCCATGGGGGCCGCTTCTAAGTGATGACATTGTTAGTGTGTTTGTTACCCTACATCTATGCTATCATATTTTCAAAACAGTGAAAGGAATGTGGCCAATAATCTTCGTAAAAATTAACTTTCATAGTCAAAGCAGACTAACTTGTGTGCTTACAGGTTATCGTTATCGTCGTTCGCATCCGGTCCCGAGGATTGACGATTAACTTAATTATTCATATTTATCTCATCATCATCTTTATTTTCATTATCATCTATCTCGTTGTCTGGATGACCGTTGGGGTACCACCGCAGAATTTTCCACCAGATTCATTTGTTCCTCACAGTTCTTAGTTTTCCACAGTGTGTTGTTCCATTCTCACCCGTCCATTATTTGAAATTATCTTCCCATCATTTCCTCTGTCTGCACTGTTGTTACTTGGAACATAAAACAAAGATTTTACACTACTAACCTTCTGTCACATGCCACTATAACAGGAATTAGCCAAACCTGTTCCTCTGCTCTGTGTTGTGATTCCTTCCGCAGCTTTGGGGCCCCAATGCGTTGGATTGGAATCTCACACTTCACGCACAACTGAACCGAGGCTCTAACTAGCCTTTTTCACAACCTATACTGTCAGTAGGCCTCCTCTGCCTTGATACAACTCTCTCCTCTCCAAGTCCCACCAGTAGTAACTCAGACTTTTATCAACTTGCAAACAATATAACTGAACACAGACTCACACTTTACTCACTCTCACACTTTCAGCCAAACAATACAATAGGCTAGGCCTAACCCCCTGCCACAACCAAAAACAACCAAATACACCACATGCACCTTCGTCTCCCTCCTTCTGTCGTCCCGGTCAGTCTGGATGATTGATAGTCAGATTGTCTTGGTCAGTCTGGATGATTGATAGTCAGATTGTCTTGGTCAGTCTGGATGATTGATAGTCAGATTGTCTTGGTCAGTCTGGATGATTGATAGTCAGTCCAGATGATCGACCTTGGTACAAAATTTGCTTTCATCTTTGCTTTTCTGTGTCACCAGGACGTGATCAAGTATCGACTGATCGGAGACGTGGAGGACAACGAGTTCTTCTTCCTCAACTCCGACACGGGCTTCATCTCCTTGAAGAGCCCGCTAACGCTTTCCGGTTCCAACCAGTTCAGGGTGAGACAGTCGTGGCCCGCTCTGCTACTCTCTCGCTAGATAGATAAGATGAGATAAGATTTGATGAAAGAAGATGTGAAGCTAAGATAGGATAAGACTTGATAAGAGAAGATATGAATCTAAGATAAGATAAGACACTGGAATCTTTCATAAGATATGATAGATATCATACACGTCATACATTGTAAGTTCACGGGGTTATCCTCGCAATTTTACTGGATCGATAACAACATCATAAGATATGATATGATAGGACATGATAAGATAAATTTAACTAACCCACTGGATGAACCATTGTTATTATTATTATTGTTATGACAGTTCAATTTATTATTATTGTTATTATCGTTATTATTATTATTATTATTATTATTATTTTTAAAATCATTATTCTTATTATTGTCATTATTGTTATTATTATTGTTATATTAATAATAATAATAATAATAATAATAGTATTAATTATTATTGTTTAGTTGATTATTTTATTATTATCATTATCATTATTATTAATGATATTAATCATTATTGTTTTAGTTAATTATCTTATTATTATTATTATCATTATTATTATTATTATTATTATTATTATTTTAAAAATCATTAATACTACAGTTCAGCGTTGAGGCAAGCGATCAGAGCAACCCGGAGAGAACTGCGACCAGCAACGTTATCGTGACTGTGGTTAGGGATGAGTCACCTCCCTTCTTCATCAACACGCCTTACTCGGCCAGCACCCTGGAGACAGCTGCCCTCGGCACGACCTTCTACAGGGTCACGGCCTCTGATGCTGACCTCAGGGTGAGAGGTTAATTATAATAATAAATAGCATTTGTATAGCGTATATCCCCACTCGAAAGCAAGCTCTATGCGCTTTAATAATAATAATAAATAGCATAGAGCATATCCCCACTCGAAAGCAAGCTCTATGTGCTTTACACTATATTATTACCCCAGCAGACCGTAGAACTCTCAGAAACATTCTTAGCTTCCCGGGAAGCGTACAGTGCAAGCAGCTGGTTAAGCACTCAAACAGTAACAAGCTGGCGAGATCTTTCACTGTCTATAGCTGGGATTTTCACCTGGGTGAAGTGGGAAACATTCGTGTAAATTGTCTTTCCCAAGGACACAACGTTGGGCCCGCAGCTCGAATCCCCGACCCGCAACCTCATGATTACGAGTCCGGTAGCCTGACCACTAGGCCACCGACACCATCGTTTTGACAGATTCGTCCGGCTTTTTATTGTTGGCCAGCTATTAAGATGTACTGAGCTGAAATTTTGAATTTTTACATATTGCAGTTTCTTAACTCTTTATCTCCGGGGGGGGTAAACCCACTACACAGGGGCCCTTTTTTGGTGCTAAGTCTAAAAATGACAAAAACTTGATTAAATGGGTAATTAAATTGAAACTAGCACACCTATTTTGATAGTTCTTCATCTAATGATTGAAATTCCGGTATAAGAGACCTGTTTTCTGCAGTTGCCGAAAAGTAATTTGATGTCAAAGTCGTCGTAAAGGAATGTGCAACTTCATCATTGACGATCAACTTAATAATAAAATTGCTAAAATTTACATAATAGCGCATCAAAAAAGGTTCTCCTTGAGCAACTTTGCTTATTTTGAGACACTGATTCCGAAATCAGTTTTTACCTGCAATAGTCATTATTAAAATATTGAGCCCTAAGTTTAATCCTGCGTGGCGGCAAAATTTAAAGTGCTTCTACGTCACAGCGCGTCTCCTCCAAATCTGATCGTGATCGCATGGAAAATATCAAGCAGCATTTGATTTCTCGACCGAGTCTCCAAGCCATCGTCCAATCGTTCAAACTTTGTACAATATTGTGGTTACACCCAAAGATTTTACTCATGATCGATAGACGGTCCAGTTTTTGTACAATTAATTTATCGTTGCGTGTAACCTTCCAGAAATGATTGATAGATCGTCCAGTTTTTGTACAATTAATTTATCGTTGCGTGTAACCTTCCAGAAATGATTGGTAGATCGTCCAGTTTTTGTACAATTTATCATTGCGTGTAATCTTCCAAAAATAATCGATAGATCGTCAAGTTTTTGTACAATTTATCATTGCGTTTAACCTTCCAAAAATAATCGATAGATCGTCCAGTTTTGTACAATTCATAGGTACATGTAACCTTCCTGAAATAATCAATAGATCGTCAAGTTTTTGTACAATTTATCATTGCGTGTAATGGAGGCTTCACTGTTATGTTTCAGGGCACCATCAGGTACGAGGTGACCGGAGACTTCCAGGCAGAGTTTTACTTCAACGTAGACTCTGTCAGTGGCTCCGTGTTTGTGCAGGAGGACTTGAAGCAAGACCTAGCCACATCATACACTGTGAGTTCACGGGGATATCATTGCAGTTGTCATAGAAACTTGTTCTCTCTTTCTTTCTCTTTCTCTCTCTTTTTCAGTTTTTCTTTTTCTGTCTTTGTCTTTCTTTCTTTCTCTCTCTTTTTTTCTTTCTCTTTCTCTCTTTGTCTTTCTTTCTTTCTCTCTTTCTCATACTTTCATTCTCTTTTTCTTTCTGTGTTTTATTCTTTATCTCTCTTGTTCTCTCTTCTTGTTCTCTCTTTCTCTCTTAGTCTTTCTTTCATTCTCACTCTCACTCTCACTCTCACTCTCTCTCTCTTCCCTCTCTCTGCCTGCTCACTTTTTCTCCAATAAATGCTTGAGTACAGACAGTCCCACAAAAAAACTTGCACACACACCTACATACACAACAGCCACTTGTTACAAAAAGCCTAAAAAACAGAAAAAATCTATTCAGAGAGAACATAATGCGTATGTTAGGGCTTTAACTCTTTTTATACCTAGAGTGGTCCACACTTAATGAAATAATGTGTGCTAGGATGATGCTGTGTTGGTGCATGGTACAGAAAGAGTTAAAGCAGGCCAGGAACAAATGCAGCTTTAATGTATTCATGGAGAACCATATGAGATATAAATGAAATCACAGACCTGGTAACTGTATTTTTAAAATGTTGATAGACCAGAAAATTTTGCTCTACTATTAGGGTTTGTGGATATGGCAGTTTATTATTCACTGTTTCATTACTCTTATGTATAGTTTATATGTTTTGATGTAACTGACGGTTATTCCTCTCTTGTGTACAACTGTTCACAGCTTCGGGTGATTGCCTACGATGATGCCTCACCAAACAGGGTTGCTACGGCAACCGTACCCATCTTTGTGACTCGTAATCCAAACGCTCCAACGTTCGTGAACGGCCCGTACTCTACAGTGATCCCTGAGACATACAATCTGGGCAACCTCGTCATTCAAGTGACCGGCACGGACCGAGACGGGGTAGGAGAAAAACTGGATTGTGTCAATTTTCTTTTTCTTTTCAGTACATTTATGTTCTAATGGTACATTCAAAATAATACCGCATAATGCAATACAGACAATAATAGATACTTTACTTCAGCTTGACATGTCAACCTTTTTTCAACCTTTGTACAGCTTTTACATAAAAGAATATGATCTCTCGTAAGATCACCTCTTGTAAATTCTGCACAATATCAAGGCAAAACAAAATAAGTTATTTACTGAGCACACGTTTCATTGTTTATTTTTTCATTGCATTTTCATCTTGACAAGTATTACCTTAAACTTTGAGTTGATAAATGTTTTAGAACTTTCATGTATTATTCACTGGAAAATTCTCAAGCATTGTATTTACCACTGGGGTATAGTTACTTTAGTATAGTCAACTTTAATAAATATTTCAATGGCATCTGTTCAGATGGACTAAGCTAAATCCCAAATTTTGATTTGAAAAATGTTTAAATTGTAGTTTCTTTTTCTGATGTATCGGTTACGTACACTCGAGAAAATTAGAAAAGATACATACACACTTAAAAAAAAAAGAATGAAACATTTTTTTTTCAATCTCTCCTGAAAAGTTTTACTTTCTGTTCTTGAACTTCTTGAACAAAAGATTGGGGTGCCGATGATTTGTGAGACGTGCTGACAGAATGAGTTACTTTGTGCAATCCATGAATAGAGATATCGGCTGAAAATCAACACATAGGTCATATTTATAGATTCTAAACCAATATAATGCCATTCTCTTCAAGCTTAACATGTCTTTTATCACCAAATACTAGTAAATTGTAAAGACTCAACCTATAAATTTGACGTATCTTTTTTCATCAGGCTAAAATCCTAGAAGTAACTCATTTTGTGAGCACACCTCACGTTTGATTTGCGTACATAATCATATCTATGTTCTTAACTCTTTGTCTCCGAGGGGGTAAACCCACTGCGCCGGGGCCCTTTTTGGTGCTAAATCTAAAAATGACAGAAAGGTCATTAAATGGGTCATAAAATCGAAACTAACAAACCTATTTTGATAGTTTTTAATCTACTGAATGAACTTCCGGTATAAGAGACCTGTTTTCCTTGCCGAAAATGAGTAATTTGATGTCGAAGTCGTTGTAAAGGAATGTTCCCGAGCCGCTGTCAGCGACTCACTGGCACAGTGGATCCGACCGCGAGCCACTGGGAGCGGTTTGCCGGAGATAAAGAGTTAATATTTTATGACTGTTTCTTTCCATTGACAGGATGATCTCCGCTACAGCCTTCTGTCCACCGGGTCACTTAACAGCGACAAGGCTCTGGACTATTTCTACATCATTGAGCAGACCGGCGCCATCTCACTGAAGAGACCGCTCACCGACGATGTTGACCAGGACACCAGCTTTAACGTAAGTGCCGAGGATTTTACTGTGGGCGGGTGTTCTGATGTGGGTTGCTCTTTCTTTCCTATCAAATATCTATTGTCATTATCTCTCCTCTGTCTTTTCTTTGTATGTAATTCTTCAGCAACACCTCTAATCTTCAGTCTAAATATTACTTATTTATTTTGCGAGTTGTTGGATTGGAAGTCGCAGGGTAAGAGATCAAGGAGAAGGCCACATGGAACCTGGAGGAGAGTAACATGTACAGAAAATATAGGAAGATATGAAATAACATCAAGAGGCTATCCCAAAATAGGGAGCGGTAGAAACTGTATGTTCGTGGTGTGTACCCTGATGCAGGAGGAGAAAAGCAGTGATGATGATGATGATGAAAATGATGATCCTGAGTTGCTCCTGAGGAAGCCTATGTGGCGAAACTTTGAGCAGATTCAATAAAACAAGTTTTAAACATTTTATATATTTTTGGGGGTCTGTAAATCAAGCAAGACTCTCCTTCCTACTCTGCTTTTTAAACAATGATGATGATGATAATGATGATGATGATGATGATGATGATGACGATGAAGGTGATGATGATGATGATGATGATGAAAATGCCATAACACTCTTACTAAAACCAAAACTACCTTTCCCATTCCAGTTCATTGTCCAAGTGAGGGACCAGCGAGTGAACGAAAAAACCGCCGACGCCTCGGTGACCGTCAGTGTGATAAGGAATAGGTTCCTCCCTAACTTTGTGGAGTTGCCGTACAGATTTGGCCTATCTGAGAACACACTTGTAGGCTCGCTGGTGTACGAGGTGACCGCTGTGGATCAGGATCTGGTGGTAAGTGATGATTGATCTCTTTTATCGTTAATGGTGAAAAGTGAGAGGATAAAGGAGGAGGAGAAGGAGGAGGGGAGGAGAGGTAGAAGAAGAAGAAGAAGAAGAAGAAGAAGAAGAAGAAGAAGAAGAAGAAGAAGAAGAAGAAGAAGAAGAAGAAGAAGAAGGAGGAGGAGGAGGAGGAGGAGGAGGAGGAGGAGGAGGAGGAGGAGGAGGAGGAGGAGGAGGAGGAGGAGGAGGAGGAGAAGACAAAAACAAAGAAGGCAAAGAAGAAGAAGGGAAGAGAGGAGGAAGAGGGGACAGAGAGGAGGAAGAGGAGGAGCATAAACAGGGGGAAAAGGAGAAGGAGGAGAAGGACAAGGTGGTGGAGAAAGGATAATGATACTTTCCCGAAGAAAGGAGGGAAGGGGGAAGTGCAGAAGAAGAAAAGCAGGGGGGGGGGGGGGAGGGCTGAAGATATTTTCAACTGGGCAACTCATTGTCATTAGTTTTTCCATGTACTGAGATTTGAAGCAAGGAAAAGCATTTCATGGTTGACCATATCAGACAAGTTGGTAAGAAGAACATAATTTTGTATGTTCATGCAGTGATCATTCATATGTATATGTATGCGCATATTGGTGTGTGAGTGTGTGTGTGAAGGTAGGAGTGAGTGCTTGTGTGTGTATGTGTGTATTTATATGTGTATGTGTGTACATGTGAGTATGTTGAGAGTGTGTGTAAATATACTTACCATCTTGCAGCAAATTTCTCTTTGTAGAGATCAATAAAATGTTATCTTATCTTCTCTATCTTATCTTATTATTGCCAGGGCTCACTGGTCTACAACATGATTGGTGACAGCATCGGTCCGTTCTACTTCAACGTCAACAGCACCACGGGAGCCATCACTCTGAGGAATAATCTGAGGACGGACAAGACAAACTTCAACTATGTGGTGAGTGTGGCATTGAGTAGCCTCAGATCTTACAGCGAGTTGATGTGTTGTTGTTTTTTTATATCTCAGTCGCATCGCAATTGAAGGTTTTAGTTTTAGTTGTAGTAAGCGTTTTACGGCACTTGCAACACAATAAAGTCATATAAGTGCCGAAGATTAGAGGTGTTACAAGAGAAAAAGAAACACAAAAAAGAAGGAGGTGGGAAAAGGGCGATAGATATTTGATTTTAAAGAAGAAGCCAGAGCACCCGCCAACCACCCACCAATTGAAGGCTGGTACTTATAATGGTAAAAGATCAAGGGGAAGACCACATGGAACCTGGAGAAGAGTCACGGAAATGGATGTTCAGAAAAGTGGGAAGACATGGAGTGACATCAACCGATTAGCTCAGGATTGGGAAATGTCGAAAGTGTTTGTTCGTGGCCTATATCCTGAACCAGGGCGAGAAAGGCAATAATGACCTATCGTAAACTAAGCTGTCTGTCCTCTGCTTAGCTCTACTGTTGGCCTGTATAGCTTTTCTTCAAGTGTTAAAGCATATTCCCTCGATGCTTAACAGTAGTAGAGGATGGAAAGGTAACAGTTTAAGTAAGTTAATGGGATTGGCCATGTTTCATGTCTTAGAGTTCTGTGTGTACGGATATGCTGGAGGATGTATTCCACACTGTAGTTAAGTCAGCTTCTCCACACTGGCATTTTGGTGAATGGAGTAGTTGAACATTTTCAGTATGCAAGGGATTCCACAATTTTACACAACCAGTGGCAAAGGGTGTTACTTTAAAGCGGCTATCGTTCAGTCAAATATTGATGGATTTGTTTATGTGAACACTCAAACCATTTGTATTTGGACAAAGTTCCACAATAGGAGTGAATGTAGGGAGTAAATATAGCATAGGATCAGGTGTAGATCTTGGGGTTGATGAAATCGGTTCTGCCAAAGCGCCACTTAAGCAGCGAGAAGGTGAAATGCGGTACCAAAAACGAGCCAGATTCAAAGAGTTAAAACATCTGTACATGTGATTTTTGAGTCAAGGGTGTTGTGTTCTTAGTCTAGTTTTGACTATATTATTTCAGGTGAAATCTTTTTTGTGCATGAATTGATTCTTTTGGGTAGAGTATTTTTCAGTATGTATAACCAGGTTTATCCGGATTGAAAATCCATGTTTTCCTGTCCTCAGTTGAGAGTGACAGCGTATGACACAGCGTACCCCACTCAAGTTGCCACGGCAACGGTGGAGGTAAGCATTGCCAGGAATGAGTTCAGCCCACAGTTCACACAGAGCCCTTACCGTGTGACCATCAACGAGACGACCAGCGTGGGCACCAGTATTCTCTCTGTGTTGGCCGATGATGCTGATGGGGTGAGTTGTGCAGCTTAATTACTTACATACTGTCTCTGTGTAAATGTTTTTTTCTCAGTTCCTGAAAAAAACAACAACTTAGAAAGAACACTTTTTTTTTTCTTACCGGTCCGATGTGCAATATATGACGTTGTTGCCCACGACAGGTAAATGTTTTTTTCTTATCATCTTTTTTTCCTTCCTTATTCTCATTTGTAAATGGTCTCTGTTGTGTAACTGGTTATTTTCTAAATGAAAAAGACGATTGAATGGCCGCTGTC